CTCAGATCAAAGAAACATTCGTGTATACAGAACCATTGCAGTTCAAACCCCTGTTATTCAGGGTCAGCTGTATATTTCTTGGAGGGACATGATGGGTGGTGACATTCCCAGTTTATAGATGGGAAGGTGAAAATGTGGAGAGTAAAGCGACACAGAGATAGCACGAGGCCAGCCTGTCTACTTCGCATCTGTAATCTGCCTGGGGTGCCGTAAGCAAGAGGCGAGTGAAATACTCACCTATGGAAAAATAAACATAGTGTGATGGCAGATGAAAATAACACGACTAGTTAGCATCTCCTGAGCACTTTGTATATACCAGGCCCTGTGTTGACTGGGTTCTCACATTTAATCCACCCTGTGAGGTAGGTTCTATTATTATGCCCATGTTACAGATGAGGGAACTGAGACTTGGAAAGCTTCAGCAAAGTGCTCTAGAGTAAAGCTCTAGAGAAATTTCAATAGAAATTTCTGTGATAGAACTACTATATACGCGCACAGTCCAATATGGTAGCCACTAGCCACATGTGGGTATTGAGCACTTGAAATGTGGTTAGTGTGACTGAAGGGCTGAATTTTTAATTTCATTTTTATTAATGTACATTTAAATCATCTCAGTGGCTAGTGGTTGCCTTGTTTGCTCAGCCATAGGGGCATAGGGTCCGTGGGAAGCTGGATGGTGATTTGAAGCTCTGCCCTTGGATCTCCCAAGTCTGCACTCCTAACCACTGCACCATACCGTCCCCTTTCCTCTACTCAAGAGGTTTGGGATTCAGGTAGAATTGTGCTCATGAGCTCATGGGGTGGGGGTGGGAGCAGAGACTGCTGATGCCCTTGGGTTTTCTTTCCTTTCTTGCCCTCCCCCCGCCCCTGTGACAGTGGTCCTGCTTTGTTTTCCTATGTGCCCAGTGTGCACACAGTTGGCTCACCCCACCACAGGCTCTGGTAAGGAGCAAGGGGGACATGGGTGGCTTCATGTACCCAGGCCTCTGTCCTGCTGCTGTCAGTCCTCCCCTCAAGCACAGGTCTCATATATTTCCCAGCAGAGACCTTGGCCTCTCCACTTCGCTTTAGCTGGCCACCATGTCCTCATCTGAACAGCAAGGATCATAGCCCCTGAGCTGGTTTCTCAGATTTGTGAGGCTCTGCAGAGCTGAAGATTCAGCTAAGGACCTTTGGTCCAGAGGAAATGGCTTATCAAAGCTCATTTTGGTCCCATCTGTATGATGACATGATCACAACAGAAAAGAGGTGGTTTGGGGAAGTCATGAATATAAAAGGAAAGGAAGAAATTATGGCACTTCTGTCTGCCCCTTCTCCTGGCCTGGCCCTGACCCCGGCAGATTCTTACTTATGAAGTCAGCGGCTGCCTGTGGAAGGGATCTCAGAATGCCACATGGCCCCATGGCCCATCCTTGATGGGGTCTAGACAGCATCGAAAAAAAGCAGTGTGGTCTCTTGACTAGACTCAGCCCTCCCTCCCCTTTTCTGTCTCCCAGAAGCAGGTCTGCCCCAACAGGTGTCCCCCAGGGCTGCTACCTCAGAACAGGGGTCCTCACACACAGCCTATCAGAGGAACGTGGACCTAATTTACTGTGGGTGCCAACGCTGATCTAACATGGGGCAATCTCAAACAGCAATCCTAAATTACCATACGTAAGAGCTGAACCACTTCCCTGCCTAGGTCAGGCTGACCATGTGAAATTGTCTCTGCTTCCTTGTCTATTTTTAAACCAAAATTAAAACATTCTCAGCACAACTCTTCTCCTTTTCCCTCCCTTTCATGGTGGGATTAGCACAGCAGGCACTTAAACAAATTGCCCCTGGAGAAACCCACTGGGACGGTGCGGGTGGACAGTCGGCTGTGAGCGGCCAGGCCACGTGCAAGGCTGTGAACCTCCAGCACATACTCCCTTCCACAGACACCTCAAGGAGCTCCCTTACCCTCAGGGAACGCACGGAAGCTGGCCTCCACCTTCCGCACCTGAAGTTGATCTGAGGGTGGCTGGAGGCAGCTGAGGCAGCGGGAGGGACCTGCTCTAACATGGTCACGTCCCATTTCTTCCTTCTTTACCTAGTTCTGTAGCCGGAGGGGTTGAGCTGCAGATCTCTGCACACGCTTTCTGCCTCTGAACATTTGCTCCCGTGGTTTCCTCTTCCAGGATTGCTTTTTTTCTGCTTAAATGGAACTAAGTCTTCATTCTAATACACTCTTCTTCCTTGGGCCAAAAGTCATGTCCTACTGTCTTCACTACTGTGGCCTTCTCTGCCCCTCTCTTGCCACCTTCCTTGTTCCTGTTTGCTCTCTTTTTTATATATATATATATATTTTATTGATTTTTTACAGAGAGGAAGGGAGAGAGACAGAGAGTTAGAAACATTGATGAGAGAGAAACATTGCTCAGCTGCCTCCTGCACATCTCCTACTGGGGATGTGCCCGCAACCCAGGTACATGCTCTTGACCGGAATCGAACCTGGGACCCTTCAGTCTGCAGGCCGACACTCTATCCACTGAGCCAAACCGGTTCCGGCTCCTGTTTGCTCTTATAGTCCTGTGTGTATCTGGCTTGTCATCCCATCAGCCAGAAGGCTCCTCAGGTTATGGCTGTGCTTTGGCTACTCTTAGCCCTTGCAGCCATACCTGGTGGTCTTCCTGGACAGTCAAGGTCTGTGTGTGAGCTGACAATGGCGGGTAGAGATCCCCAGGACTTTCCAAGTTCCCGGAACAACCTGGATAACACACACAGGCTGGGTGAGACACACATCTGCAAAGGGTAATGAGGACCTGCCTGAGAGTGGAGGTTGGGGGACAGAGGAGACCATAGAGCAGAGGTCCTCAAAGTGTTGTCTCCAGACCAGAAGTATCAGCATCACCTAGGCCAGTGATGGCGAACCTTTTGAGCTCGTCGTGTCAGCATTTTGAAAAACCCTAACTTAACTCTGGTGCCGTGTCACATATAGAAATTTTTTGATATTTGCAACCATAGTAAAACAAAGACTTATATTTTTGACTGCGGCTTGCGAGCCACATGCGGCTGTTTGCCGAGCCACATGCAGCTCTTCCTAAGCCTTAGGAGTACCCTAATTAAGTTAATAACAATGTACCTACCTATATAGTTTAAGTTTAAAAAATTTGGCTCTCAAAAGAAATTTCAATCATTGTACTGTTGATATTTGGCACTGTTGACTAATGAGTTTGCCGACCACTGGCCTAGGGAATGTGTTAGAGATGCACATCATCGGCTCCAGCCCTGACCTAGTGAATCAGAGACTCAGGGCAGGTCCTAGCAATCTGTGTTCTAAGGAGCTTTGTGGGTAATTCTGGTGAATAGTGAATTTGAGAACCACTGCCCTAGAGTGAGGGACCTTGAACAGGTGGAAGGCCAGGTGGTATAGTGGGAACACATGAGCTATGGAGCCAGACCTCTGAGGTTCAGAGCCCTGTGCTGAAATTTGGTGGCTGAGTGAGATGGGACTGAGTAATACCACCTCTTAGGGTTATCCTCCTTCTCACATGGGGATTGTGTAGGTCCCTAAACTTTCATGTGCATAAGAATCAACGAGGTGCTTTTGAAAATGCAATTTCCTGACCTCTGTTTTAAGAAATCTAATTTTGGGGTGTCAGAGTGAGGCCCAGGAATTTATAGTTTAAACAGGCTCCCAGGTGGTCTTGCTGTGGGTGGTTCAAGGACCATTCTGAGAAGCCCTGAGGTAGAGGGCCTTATGCGACGCCTGTCCTGATGGTGACCCTGACTTGTGGGCTCCCCACTGCCAGTACTTTGACTGACCTGGGAGCAGTGTTGTTAGGCCAGACATATGCAGAGTCAGTGTGTTTTGCAGTGGTGGGGTGTGCAGGGGCAGCACCTACATGGTGGACATTTGTGCATCTTGGTTTTGGGGCGTACCTGCTCCCCATTCCCTGGCTGGGGTAACTGTTTCCCATAGTGAGAGCTGGCCTTGTGGGTGGAGCACAGCTGGGATGTAGGGACTGGCTACAAAGATGGTTTTGGTGGAGGGGCCAATGAAAAGGAGTGGTACCAGAACCTGGTGTGGAACCGTAGCGGCTCTGGGATCTGGAGACAGAGATCCCTGATCAGCCTCCTTGGCCACACAATTTTGGGAGTCCAGAGGGGTGGGGGCCGTGGTCTGGTTTCAGAGGGGCCCAGTTCTGGCCCTTCTGTAGCCGGAGCCTTCTGCTTAGGCTGCACTGACAGCCCCCTCTCTGAGGGGCTTGAAGGACTCTGATTAGCTTGGCCACTGGATGCCCCAAGGTGCTGTTCCCCTAGCCACCACCAGAGGACTCTGAGGATCCCTGCAAACTTCACCCATCAGCTTTAATCTCTCCTCTCCCTCCCTGGGCCAGTGGCCTCAGCGCTGTCCAACCTAGAGGTGACTCAAGAGGTCACCAGGACCCACAGAGGGGAGGGGTGCCTGCCTTCAGAGGCCATGCCTGTGATCTCAGTATCAGCTAATGGCAAGCCCAGAGCAGATACTCACCAAGTGACCATTCTGACTTCCTTCCCCACCCCCACCTCAAGACAGCCAGCCTGAATGGTGAACCCCCTCTTCTGCCAGTCCCCCCCCCTTCACTGGCAGTGATGGGAAACACAGGTCATAGCTTGGGAATGTGGCCCCGGGCAGGGGTGATAGGAGGAGGGAGAAGGACACGTGACCTCTCAACAGCTCCCCTGCTCCCCTGCTCTGTTTCCAAGCCCCTTCCTCGCCCCAAATACAGATGGGTGCTGGTAGTGAGGGGCTGTGGGGGAAGCAGCCCCTGCCTCCAGACCATTGGCCTGGTGGGGCTGATGAAGGAGGGACAACTGCCAACTGGTAGCGCCCGTAGGAAGAGTGTTGGGCACAGGCCCAGTGTCCTGTGGCGGCTGCCGGGCCAAACCTGCCGTGGCAGGATGGGGAGACAGAGATGGGATTCTGGACCCACTCAGACGGAGAGGGGCTTCTCTGGGAGCTTCTCTGATTCTCAGCACCAGAGAAAACAGGCTGTGGCCTGGCTCGTAGCATTTGAGGCTTGTTGGGAATCTCGGTGGTTTGGTCAGAGCAAGGGGCCTCCTAGGGGCTGTTTGCCTTCGGCGCCTCCTCTGGTGGACTCGTTGAAATGAGTGGGTCAGGGCAAGCGTCTTGGATGCTGCATGCAGTGCCACCCCCACCTTCCCCTGGGGACCAAGGCCTTGGCACTTTGAATCGAGGCGCCACTGAGGGGGCTTTGTGCTTGTCAGGGCCCGGGAGCTGTAAGGAGAGAAAAGGCAGATCCTGCTGCTTGGGAATGAGCAGGGTGGCTAAATACAGCCGCCTGCACTCTGCCCCTCCCCTCTCCTCCCCCTCCACTCCAGGCCCAGGCTGCCTGTGGTCTCAGCAGGCACCACCTCCCCAGCCAGCTGCCTGCCTGCCACCCAGCCTGTCCCCACCAGGCCAGCCCCCACCTTTCCCTTCCCCTCCCCCAGGACCTCGTGCAGAGCCTCAGCAGGGTCAGCGAGTGAGTGGGGCTGGGCAGGCTGGGCTCTTGCTCTCTGGGGAACCTGGCGGGGTGGGTAGTGGGCAGGCAGCGGCAAGGCCTGGTGCCAGGGCAGAGCCTTCGGGACAGGCTCAGGCTGGGGTCTGTGTGGCAGAGTCTCCAGGTGAGTTGGGGTGCAGCCCTGTGGGGGACTTGGGGTGGGGGAACCAGGAGGAGGGGCCAGGGGGCTGTGGCAGATTCATGTCTGTATTTGGCAGTCGGCAAGAAGCCAGCTCAGTGAAGCTGGGCCCCTGGCCAGTTGCAGGGGAGGGTGTCAGGGCCCTGGAGACACCCCTCCCCCAAAGACACACTGGTGCCCCTTCCTCTTCCCCAGCTGCCTTTCTTTGTGGAGGACTCAAACTCTGCTTTCCCATCTCCTGAGAGTTTGGGGGCCCATGCTTTAGGTCTGGGGCCAACAGGTGCTCCTGGGGTATCTGGGGCAGGAAGCTGAGAACGGAGAGGGGGAAGGGCAGGCTGAACAGTGCCACCTCATTGGCCCTGGCACTGAGGTCAGGATGGGGCTTGTCTGAGGTGTGTGTTCCTCTGCACTAGGCCCAGTTCACCCAAGATACGGGTGTCCTAGTTGTGCCACCCTGGGGTCCAGAGACGTGAACCACCTGCGTTAGGAGCCTGCGATTCTGTGCCAGGAATGTGTGGGTTCCGGGCTCCAGTGGAATTCCACGTCTCCCACAAGGCCCAGGAGCGGCCCCTCTGCTGCCTGAATCCTTGGCCCCAGGCCATTCCTCTGGTTCCCCTGTTCAGGAGGACCAGCAGGATCAGTATTAGGAGAGTCTGTGGCAGGATTCAGGGACTCAGGGAAGGAAATACTTGGCAAGGTCACATAGCAAGCAAGCCCCGGGAAGTGAGGTCAGGGCTGGGCCAGCCTGCAGGAACCGTCGTCTCACCTCCTGGGCTCCCATTCCAGACCTTATCAGGTCCTTGATCTCAGGCTGATCGATGTATAGCTCTCTCAGTCTCTCTGCCCTCCTTCCTTTCCTGGCATCCCTCTGTGTGCCACCGTCTCTCCTCTGTCTCTCCTCCAGGTGGGTCCACATCCCCTTTCAGTAGCCCCATCACCTCTGACGAAGAGTACCTGAGCCCCCCAGAGGAGTTCCCGGAGCCTGGGGAGACCTGGCCCCAACCCCCCACCATGAAGCTCAGTCCCAGCCAGAACCGCCGCTCCTCAGATGCTGGCTCCAAGGCGCCCCCCACCTTCAAGGTCAGATCACGGAGCCCAGCCTCAGCCTCCTGAGTACCTCCATTCCTCTGTGTGGCCTCTTGTTCTTGGGGCCATACCAGGTTCTAGCACAGCCTGGAGCTTGACCCCATTAACTGAGAGCCAGCCTAGGTCAGACTGGGGTGGAAGAGGCCTCTGTCCCAGATCCCCCACCCCCCAGGAGCTACAGCTGGGCCCTGACACTTTGGGGTTCCCTGCAGGTCTCCCTTATGGACCAGTCAGTAAGAGAAGGCCAAGATGTTACCATGAGCATCCGTGTGCAGGGGGAGCCCAAGCCAGTGGTCTCCTGGTGAGTAGCAGCTAACCACCTTCTGCCAGCTCCCCTCCTCCCAGGCCTGGCCCTGTGAGATCTGGCTCTGGGCAGAGGGGACTGGGCCCTTGGTGGACTTTCCCTTGATCTGTAGGGGGCCACATCCCAGGTACAGTGGTGCCACTCCCCCAACCTGCCCCTGCCTCTGTCCCCGCCTGGCCTGCGTTCAGGGCTCACTGGGGGCTTCCTCCTGGGGGCAGGGTTTGTTCACTTGGGCCGAACAGCCTGGAGCCATCTCACTCCCTGAGGAGGCTGCCCGCCCCCAGTCCGTTGACCACAGGCTGATTTTTGAGGCCTTCTCTGCGCCCAGCCCTGTGCTAAGCCCAGGTGGAACCATTTGTTTCTGAGCTGCCAGAGCCCGGCGTTAAATTCGGGCCTCATCTGTGGTGCTACATCCCAGGTGCCTGGAGCTTTGATTAGTTCGCTCAGGTTATTGTTTTTATTGGTTTGGGTTCTACTTTCATTTTTAATTGATTGTCTCGTCCCCAGTGTGATTCCTTAACATTGTAAGTTATTTCATGTCCCTTTGGGGAAGTGGGGAAGCTACCTGTTCATTATAAAGAAATAAAAATAAGACATGAGGAAATTTAAGAGCTATTAAGAGCTGAAGAGCATGGCGGGGCAGTTCAGTTCCTAGAAAGGAGATACCCAGGTGGGCAGACGTGATCCGGAAGTTCCTGGTGGAGGTGGGATGCGGAGTCAGGGTGAAAACCTATCTGTAACCCAGGGTGCCCATGGTCCGTGGGACAGAGCTGGGGAGGGGACAAATGATAAGCAGGGAGCAGAGGCCAGCTTGGCTCTGTGCCCCCACTTCCTCATGGGCAGGTGAGGACCCTGGGCCCTGGGACTGAGTTCTTGCCCCTCTGACAGGCTGAGAAACCGCCAGCCCGTGCGCCCAGACAAGCGGCGCTTCGCTGAGGAGGCAGAGGGTGGGCTGTGCCGCCTGCGGATCCTGGCTGCTGAGCGGGGTGACGCCGGCTTCTACACTTGCAAAGCAGTTAACGAGTATGGCGCTCGGCAGTGCGAGGCCCGCCTGGAGGTCCGAGGTGAGTACATCCCACTCCCCATGAACACCCCCCCGCCCCACACACACACATCTGGCCCTGGCCTCATCCCTGCCCAATTGCCAGTGTTCACATAACCTTAGTTACGGGATGCCAGACCTGAAAGGGCCTCCAGAGCCCCAAGTTTAGCTGCTCATGTTGTAGTTGGGGAAACGGAGGTCCAGAGAGGGAAAGTGACTTTCCAGGCCACGTGGCACCTTGCCCAGTGCTCAGCTCACTACCCAGTACTGCCTTCCCCGTGCTCAGGCATACCTGCCCCTGATGCCAGCCAGAGACCTTGTTCCTGCCACCGGCCATCCTCTCCTTCTACTCTTCTACGCCTTTGTCACCTTGCCCTTCGCAGGCCCCTCCCTCACACCCACTCCCCTCTCTCCTATTACCCATCTCATTGCTGTGCAGAATCTATTGTGGCTGGGGGTGGCAGTGGGAATGTCTGATGGTTGGACCCGTTCGGAGGGGCCCTTGGGGCGACTTGGGCATGGAGCATTGCCGGGACCCAGGGTGCCAGGGTGAGCAGAGCTGTGAAATGTGGAGAGGGCTGGGTCCCAGAGTCGGGCCTAAGGGTAGGGGTCCTTTCAGGCATCGGGATGACAGGCCCTAGCCAGGCTGCCCTGGGGGGCAGTGCTTTTCTTCCCAAGGACTGGCCATTTGCCTCTCCTTTCACCTCCCTTTTCCCTGTGGACAGTTCAGGGCTGGGAACCCCTCCTCAGCTCCGCAGTCAGCCAGCGTCCCCACTTCCTGGCAGAGGCCAGTTTTGAGAGCTTCCAGGATCCCCAGACCCTGCTGGAGCCCAGACCCTCACAGTCATGGTTGCCCCAATGGGCCCCGCCTGCCTCAGTTACTGGACCCTGTGCCTCCTGTTCCTGGGGTCGCCTCCTCCTCAGTCTCTAACTTCTTCCATCCCCACCCCCAACCCCCATCCCCACAGCCTGGCCCCATACCCTGGCCTGCGCCTGCCCCTTCAGGGTCTGGTCTGCCCTGCTTCTCTGTGCTAACCCATGTCTCGGTGCTTCTCTCTCTTTGGAATTCTCCCCAACATCTCTCAGGTTTTAGGGTGCTCCTGGTAACTGTGAATGCCTCTTCCCTGGTTGCCCAGGGCCTCTACCTGCCCAGAAAACCCAGGGCCCCAGCCTCTGGCTGGCTGCCAGCCCCCCACCCCAGGGCTGCGCTTGGGGGAGCTGAACGTGGCAGTGCTGCCCTGGCAGTTGGAGAGACAGCTGTCTGTGCTGGGGGCCTAGCCAGGCTGCGTGCGTGCTTGTGTGTGCGTGTGTGTGTGCGTGCGTGTACTGCACTAACCTGCCGCTTGCTGACTGAGGTTTTTGTCTGTACACAGGCGAGTGAGCTCAGGGGGCCGACTGCACTCCCCCCCGCTACCCTCCGAGCCGCGCCCTGTCTCAGGCACCTCTCGGACCTCGCTGTGTTTCACTGCCTCCTGCCCACAGACCCTGCCGGCCTGGACCCTGTTCCAGCCTCCCCTCCCCTCCCTTTCCCGTGCAGCACCTGGGGTAGCCCTGGGCCCCTGTGGACCCCCCTCTCCCCAAGTGGACATATGACTGGGCTGGCTAGGAACCCCCATGTGGACTGAGTGCCAGGAAGGGGTGGTCATGAGGCCTATGAAGACCCCTTCCCAGTCTCTCCCTGCAGGGGAGCACCCAGTGAGTGCATGTGCTGCCACTGCTACAGGCCCTGTCTGTCTACCCGTTTGTCTGTCTGTGTGTCTGTGACAGTCAGGAAAGGATGCCTCCAAGCTGGCGTGGGATAAAACAGAGGCGGAGAGACAGGGCATAGCACCTGCAAGGTGGAGGGCCCAGAGGGGTCGTGGCTGTGGACAAGGAGCTCATGAAGTGGGGGCAGAGCACTGACCATTCCAGGAACGGGTTTTCAGCGGTACAACGCTATTTCACAAGGGGCCAGAAGCCAGAGGCCCCGGCCCTGCGCTGATGAGGAGGCCTGGCTGAGTCCTGCCTGATTCTTGGCTGTGGGCAGGTGTAGGGCCCACTTGGGGCTCCCCCTTTCACTATCAGAGTCCGGGAGGCTCTGTCGGGGAGCGAGGGAGTTAGCCAGACTTGACATGGGAGTAGGGGCCTCCTGTAGAGGGTGTGGAGATACGCAGAAGTACCTGTTTCTTAGTTCAAATAAAGTCCAGTTTGTACCCAGCTGGTGTGCTGTGTGGTATTATTTTCCGCCGCCGTCTCTTCCCTCAGTTTCACTGTCCTTGGTTCCTGCTGCTTCCCGAGTTCCCCCTCCCTGGCCCAGCTGGGGTTGCTGTCCTGAAGCCAGGCCTGAGACCTGGCCAGCCATGAGGGTGGGGTTTCCCTGTGTCTCCAAAGGAACAAAATGCATCTCTCTCTCTGTGTCTGTCTGTCTCTCTCTGTGTGCGTGTGTGTCTCCCTCACCCCGTGTCTCCGCTCCATGTGTGCCTACTCCCCGTGGCCGCTCCCCCAGCACACCCTGAGAGCCGGTCCCTGGCCGTGCTGGCCCCCCTGCAGGACGTGGACGTGGGGGCCGGGGAAATGGCGCTGTTTGAGTGCCTGGTGGCAGGTCCTGCAGACGTGGAGGTGGACTGGCTGTGCCGTGGCCGCCTGCTGCAGCCCGCGCTGCTCAAATGCAAGATGCATTTCGATGGTCGGAAATGCAAGCTGCTGCTCACCTCCGTGCACGAGGACGACAGTGGCGTCTACACCTGCAAGCTCAGCACGGCCAAAGGTAACTGCCCACTTGGGTCCCAGGGCTGCCTCGGGCCCCCAAGAGCTGGAGGGAGGTCCCTGGAGGGGAAGGATTCCGGGGGAAGAGTGATAGATGGGAGAGGGTGCCATACACCTGCCTCAGTAAACGCACTTGGAGTAGCACCGAGAGCAGCACCTGGCAGCACCTGGCAGGAAGGGCCTCCCGTGTCAGTGTGAGCTGCTGTTCCTGTAGGAGCCCATCTGCTGAGGTGTGGCAGACAAACCTGGGTGTGGATTCCAGTTCCTGCCCTGTCGCATACCAGCCACCTGACTTTGGACAAGTCACTTCATCTCTCTGAGCTCAGACTATTCATGTGTAAAAACGGGATCATGATAATGCCTAGCTCGGGACCGGGAGGATTAATGAAGATAATGAATGTAAAGAACAAAGCACAGCGCCTGGTGAAGGGTGCCACCTAATAAATGTCAGCCATTAGTTTTATGAATGACTTCTCTGACCTGGTCCCCATCCTCGTTTGAGGAGGAGACAATGCCTCGTCAGGTTGTGGTAATGAGCACCTAAGGTGACACTGGAGGGACCTTGTAGGCAGGAAGGGACCAGGTCAGCATCAGGTGCTGTCACTTCCCCTGTGGGGGCAGTGGAGTGGGGCGAAGGGGCATGTGCTTTATGTCTGGGGTGGTGGGAGGAAGTATGGGCACAACCCAGGTGCAGAGGAGAATTCCAAGGGGAGGGAAAAAAGGGTGCAGGGGAGGAAACAGGCTTGCCTTCTAGGCCCCTGTTTCCTTTTTAAAAAATATATTTTATTGATTTTTTACAGAGAGGAAGGGAGAGGGATAGAGAGTTAGAAACATCGATGAGAGAGAAACATCGCATAGCTGCCTCCTGCACACCCCCCACTGGGGATGTGCCCACAACCCAGGTACATGCACTTGACCGGAATCGAACCTGGGACCTTTCAGTCCGCAGGCCGACGCTCTATTCACTGAGCCAAACCGGTCAGGGCTAGGCCCCTCTTATTGCTGAGCTGAGCATCATCCTGGGTGGGCAAGGTGAGCTGAGGACGGGAGAGCCGGGCTGGGGCCCTGGACACCCATCCCTAGCCACCATGGCAGCCTCTGCCACCCTTGCCGACCTCCACCTTCCTGAGAAGGTCCAGTGCCTAGGGACCTTGCTGGGTTCCAGCTCCTGGCCCAGGGAGGGGGCCTGTGGGTCGGGGTGCCTGGGGTTCCGTGGCCTTTGATGCCCCAGTGCTGATCCCTCCCACAGATGAGCTGACCTGCAGCGCCCGGCTGACGGTGCGGCCCTCACTGGCGCCCTTGTTCACACGGCTGCTGGAGGATTTGGAGGTGCTGGAAGGCCGCACGGCCCGCTTCGACTGCAAGATCAGTGGCACCCCACCCCCCTCTGTGACCTGGACCCATTTTGGTATGGCTCTCCACCCTGCCGATGTTGGGGGACCCCCAAGGGCCAGAGAGCAGGACCCCTCTCTGAGTCTGCTGTGCATTCCGCCTCTCTCCCCCCAGGCCGCGCCGTGGAGGAGAGTGAGAACTTGCGTCTGCGGCAGGATGGGGGGCTGCACTCACTGCACATTGCCCATGTGGGCAGTGAGGACGAGGGGCTCTACGCAGTCAGTGCCACCAACACCCATGGCCAGGCCCACTGCTCGGCCCAGCTCTACGTGGAGGAGCCTCGGACAGCCGCCACTGGCCCCAGGTACTGCCTGGGGCCCGGAGCGGCCAGGGTTGCCTCTGTGGGGCCCCAGCCCAGCCTGTGACAGGAGGCAAAGCTCTGGGACTCTGGGCAGCTTTGTGATTTTTGCAGCTCGAAGCTGGAGAAGATGCCATCCATCCCTGAGGAGCCAGAGCATGGTGAGCTGGAGCGGCTGTCCATGCCCGACTTCCTGCGGCCGCTGCAGGACCTGGAAGTGGGACTGGCCAAGGAGGCCATGCTGGAGTGCCAGGTGACTGGCCTGCCCTATCCCACCATCAGCTGGTTCCACAATGGCCACCGTATCCAGAGCAGTGATGACCGGCGCATGATGCAGTGTACGTGCTGGGGAAGGGGCCCTGGGGAGTGTCCCCTCCAGCACCTCTCTGCTTGTGGTGCCCTCCGCTGTGCTCACCCTCAGGCCTTCCTTTTCTAGCCTCGTCAAGGATGAGGCATCTAGTGGAGGGGAGCCCAGAAAGGCTATGAGGTCGCCTCCTGCCTTGAGCCCACACAGCATCCATCTTGCTGAGTCACGACTCTGGACCTCAGTAGCTCCTTAGAAACTTACTAGACAGCCTGCTACTGATCGTGGGCAGGTTACAGAACCCCTCTGTGCCTCAGTTTCCTCATCTGTAATCGGTTTGTTAGAGAATTAGATCAGCAAGTACATATAGAACACTTAGGGCATGGCCAATAGCAAGTGGTCAGTACGTGTCATATCTTATTATTATTGCTACTGTTTTTGCCACCATTGTCATTCTCATTGGTAAAGCAGAGAATTTTCAGTGAAAAGGCCCATGTGGCCAGTGTCTGGCACCAAGTGGATGCTTGGCCAAGGCTATTAATGAATAGCAAGTAAAGAAGGAGCTGGAGGAAAATAGAGGGATGTATTTGGGACCGTGTCCTCTCAGCCTGGGGTGTTCCCATGGGACTATTTCAGTTCCACCCTCGAAGGAATCAGAGTCTCCAGTGGAAAGGGCCACCTACCCCCTTCAGACAGCGCCACCCTGTGCCACATGATGGCCGCCTCTTACAGCAGCAGTGTGACAGAACTCGGCGCCTCATGTGTGCCGGGCCCTGAGTGCTAAAGGCCTGGCGTGGATGACCTCACCACGGGCCTGTGAGGCAGCTACTATTATTCCTGTTTAAAGATGGGGAAACTGAGGCTTACGGAGGATCAAGGACTTGCTCAAAGGCAGGAAGGACCATCTGACTCTGGCTCCCACCTCCTAACCAGGATGCTCCCTGTCGGCCGTGCCCATTTCCAGTGCCACCACTGAGGTCCTTCCCCTCTGCCCTCCACCACAGCAGTTGTCTGCTCAGCCCACAGGCTTCCCATCTCTCCATCTGCTTGAGGCCCTGGGTGGGTGTCTGGCTCAGAATCTGAGCTGGCGTCTCTTCTGTTTGTATCTGGGGTCAGTGGCGGCCCTTGGTTTCTCTTCCTTTATAAATAGTCTCAGTAGAGATAAATGGGTGACTGCTCCATGGGAGATAACCACTAAGAGGGGGGAGGGGCATTGGGGGATAGCCCTTATATGAATGAGGATAGTGTAGGCCTCTTCCTCTTCCTGTCCCTGCTGGAGACAGCTCCCTTATCATCATTCTGGGAACACGGTGTAGGGACAGAGCTTTGAATTCAGAGGGAACCAAGTTCAAGCCATTGCTCCATCATTTATTAGCCATGTGACCTTGGACAAGTCCATTAATGTCTCTGACCTCATTGGCAAAATAAGGATAATTTTGCAGGGTTGTTGCAAGGATTATGGGGGTGGAAAATGTATGTCAAGTAGCTGGCATAGCAGAACACTCTTATTGGAGGTTATAATGTAATACATATATTTGGCACTTACTGCATGCTAGGTAGTGGGTTCTGCTGGAGGTCCCGGGGAGGGGAGAAGGGATGGGGGTGCAGAGTGGGGCCCCCAGTCATGGCACAGGAGGTTTCCCAGGCTGGCACTCCCTTGAACTATGTCTTGAAGGAGAAGGAGGCCTTAGTAAGAGAAGAATGTTCCAGAAGGGAGGAATTTTGTGAGCAAAGACCTGAAGATGGAGCCCCTATGGCTTGTTCAGGGACCTGCTGGCTTGTCAGGGTCAGATGGTGGAGGACTAGCAGGGGATGTGGCCAGGTGGGAGTTCAGTCTGAGTGCTCTGGCTGCTGTCAGTAGGTGCCTATGCAGTAGGTGCCTTTAAGATTTCCAGGTTGAGACGCAAGATGCAGTGCTGTAGGTGGAGTGTGGGCTGCACTAGTGGAGTGCTCTCAAGGGCTCTGTGCTGGCCATGGGACCACCAGTGGCCATGGGAAGGGCCCTAGGAACAAAGCCTTGATAGAACTTTGACACAGAGGTGTGACACCCTCCCCAGAGATGCAAAGAAGAGGGGCAGTCAACAGTTGATGGATGGTGTGGGAGGAAGATGAGAAGCTGCAGGACCTGAAGTGTGGAAGGACAGACAAGAGGGGCCAGGGCTGCAGGTGTAGACTTGGCAGTCTGGACCTAGGGTTTGCCACACGATGGACACTCTTCTTGCTTGTCTGCTATTCTTTCTCTCTCCTTTCCTCCCTGAGTGGGTGGGGGTGAAGGGCCAGGTCTAGGGGGGCATGGGCTTATCCCTCAAAGTATTCACCTAGCTCAGGCCCAATGTTACTGTCCTTCCCTGCCCCCTCCCCCCCCCCCAGACAGGGATGTCCATCGATTGGTGTTCCCTGCTGTGGGGCCTCAGCATGCTGGTGTCTACAAGAGTGTCATCGCCAACAAGCTGGGCAAAGCTGCCTGCTATGCCCACCTCTATGTCACAGGTGAGACAGGCACCCTCCCAGCCAGCTGCATGCACAGCCTAGCCTCTGGCCTACCCAGGTGGCTGGTGAAGGGGGCTTTTGCACCAGCTCTCTTCCTTCCATCCCCTGGGGCGCCGTCTGGCCTTGCCCCTGCCCCTAGCCCACTCCCCTGAGGCCTGGTGATCCTGTGGAGCCACTGGGACGTAAAAGCCTCGGCGGATGCTTGACCTTTGGCTTTCAGATGTGGTTCCAGGCCCCCCAGATGGTGCCCCACAGGTGGTGGCTGTGACTGGGAGGATGATCACCCTCACATGGAACCCCCCCAGGAGTCTGGACATGGCCATCGGTGGGTCAGAGCCACACAAGGCTGAGTGGTGGGGATGGAGGCATGGGCAGGGCTGGCTCGGGCAAGGGTGCCAAGGGAGCCAGGAGGGGAGGGCAAGGCCCAGGGAAGCATATGGGGTGGAGCGTGGACGGAGTGCTGGGAGCACGGCTAGGAGCAGCCCTGACTGCCTCCTCTGCATGGTGGATGGAGCTCCAGGTCAGGAGGGGACAAAGGGAGCCACCACATTCCCAGCTCTTTCTCAGAGGGATTGGGTGCCTGGGTTGTGCTCCCGGGAATATGCTCTAATTCCCTGTCCATGATCTCTTCCTGCTCTCTGCCTCAGTTTCCCCACCTAAGATAGTAACAAGGAACTGGGATACAAGGCAAGCTCCCTCCATGCCTGTAACTGGACCCCATGCCTGGCACTTTGTTGGCTCTTAGCCTGGCTAGGCCAGTGGTTGGGCAAGAGCAGATGGAGAGCAGTTAGAAGCAACAAGAGACACTGAGGCAGGTCCTCAGAGCAGACTGATGATGAGTTCCTGGGTCCTGAAGAACTGAATGGGGGTGGAGCAGGGCACGCCCCATCCATGCCCCTCTCTAACAGCTGCCTCCCCATCAGACCCGGACGCCCTGACCTATACCGTGCAGCACCAGGTGCTGGGCTCAGACCAGTGGACAGCGCTGGCCACGGGCCTGCGGGAGCCTGGATGGTCAGCCACAGGTCTGCGTAAGGGGGTTCGGCACATTTTCCGGGTCCTCAGTGCCACCATCAAGAGCAGCAGCAAACCATCACCCCCTTCTGAGCCTGTGCAGCTGCTGGAGCGAGGTGAGCCTGGGTGTGCTTATGGAGCGGGGATGGGTGCTGTTGGGCCAGAGAGCTGGGTCCCCCCGGTGGGAGCTCAAGGGCTGGTCTGGACATTAGAGCTTTGACAGGAACAGTGTGGCTGGGTGAGACCTTGACCGTCAAAGTGCTTCCTTCTCGCTCCTGAAAGCGACTCCTAAACATGGTGCTGACCCTCTCTGAGACTCAGCTTCCTCCTCTGTAAAAATGGAGCTCACAGGGCGATGGGGAGGGTTAGAGGAGCAGTGGGTCCAAAGGATCTCCTCCTCCCAGGCCCACCCCTGGAGGAGGCGCCCGCTGTGCTGGACAAGCCAGACATCGTGTATGTGGTGGAGGGACAGCCTGCCAGTGTCACCGTCACCTTCAACCACGTGGAGGCCCAGGTCGTCTGGAGGAGGTGGGGCCCTGCCTTGCATGCCCCATTCCCACAAGTGGCAGTCCAGTTCCGGCGTCCTAGCCTGACCTCCTGTGGCTGGGTCCTGGGTGACCTCCCTCTCGTGTGTCCCTTAGCTGCCGAGGGGCCCTCCTAGAGGCGCGGGCAGGGGTGTACGAGTTGAGTCAGCCAGATGACGACCAGTACTGTCTTCGGATCTGCCGGGTTAGCCGCCGGGACATGGGGCCCATCACCTGCACTGCCCGCAACCGTCACGGCACACAGGCCTGTTCGGTCACACTGGAACTGGCAGGTGGGTGATAGCAGACCCCCTTCCCTCTCCTCCCTCTGAGGCCCGTAGCCCTCTCCTCCCTCCCGCAGGTGCACACACCCATTGGCCAGTCCTAGGTCTTCCCTCGCAGCCTGTCCATCTAATGGCCATACTAATACCAGTACTACTACCACTAATAGTAATAGTTCTAATAAGATATTTTTTGTACGTGTCAGGCTTAGTGCTCAGTATCTCACATGTAGCTCCTCATTTAATAGTTACATCAAACCTGTGCGATGGGGGTTGGTTATTATCCCCGTTTTACAGATGGGGAAACCGAGGCTCAGAGAGTGTGCGAAATAACGGGCTCAAAGTCACACAACCTAATAAGACCGGGAACTAGGATTCAAGCTCTGATACCCAATTCCAAAGCCAGAGGGTGCTCCTAGCTCCTGTGTTAAGCACAACAGGAAATAATACCTCAAGTGTAACAAGCATAGGGAGACAAGATCACTTTAAAAAAGAAAAAAACCCCAAGGGAGTGCATCTTACCTGAGACTCTCAGCTCCCGGACCCTGGCTGCCCTTGGCTCAACTTGTCCGACAGAGCCTCCCAACCTTCGCTGCAAGGACTTTTTTTTTTTAATTTCTCCATCACAGACGATGTCCCTCAACCCCCAGCATGCATTAAGTAGTAATTGCCTCGTGTTCCAGTTTGTTAATTAACTCTAGACATATGTAACTGCCACTCAGGGTTTCGGACCGGCGCCAGCTAAACAGGGTTACCTGCTGAGCAGATACAATTCCAACCAAATGCAAAGAAAGTGACATTTTAGTTAGCACAGGCAAGCTTCTCGTGGGTAAATGGGCATTTTCTGGTGCTTTTAAAGAATTGTTCAAGTTCATCTGATACACCTAGTGCTTTGACCTTCGTAGAGCCTACCCTCTCACCCCCACATCCTCCCCTCCCACTTGAAGCCAGATTCCTAGAGGGGAGGGAGAGCATCTTTAAAGTGGAAGAGAAGTGGCAGGAGCGTATGAGAAGATGGGAAACCGCACTGCCCCCCTGTGGATGGTGGATGGGGTGAGGCCGCAGATCATCTGGGCCCTGGATCTCCCTTTTACGTGTCTTTTCCTTGCCCAGTTTCCCCCACCCCATCCCCTGTCAGTTTCTCCTCAACCACCGCTTTGCTCCTTGATAGTACCATCTGCAGGGCTCATCTTTCTTTCCAGATATAGGGAGAGGCCCTGGCCACCCAGCCCTCAGCCTGGCCTGGCTGGGACAGTGACACGGAGACTGTTCCATCCAACCAGGGCTAGAACAGGCCTGGGGCTTGGGTCTACACTCTCTCCCTCTGTGCCCGCCCCAGGCAGAGCAAGTGGAATGGCCCCTTTCCTCCATATCTGCCTCACTCTAGATCAGTGATGGCGAACTTATGACACGCGTGTCAGAGGTGACACGCGAACTCATTTTTTTGGTTGATTTTTCTTTGTTAAATGGCATTTAAATATATAAAATAAATATCAAAAATACACATCTTTGTTTTACTATGGTTGCAAATATCAGAAAATTTCTATATGTGACACGGCACCAGAGGTAAGTTAGGGTTTTTCAAAATGCTGACACGCCGAGCTCAGAAGGTTCGCCATCACTGCTCTAGATCTTCCCCACTCCCAGGATGCCCTTCCCTTTTATCTATATAAAACCAAGCAGGGTGCCTGTGATGGTGGGGGTCCCTGCCCAGCGCCCTTGCTCTTCCCCAGGGCCTGACCACTCCACTCTCCTTAAAGCCTAGATCCTCAGCCCTCAGCTGAGGAAGAGGGCACCAGGAAGTTACAGGCTCCTCTGCAAAGCACACTGGAATATGATTTAATTCCATCACGAGAATTAGAAGCCACTTCATAAGGAAATAATACGATTGCATGATATGTGTAGAGAATAAAATCACAGTCACAGGTGAGAGGACTAAGCTGAGCTTCGGCTCCAGTTTGTTCTTACATCTCCAAGGTGGCAGAGGGCCCCTTCAGCATGTAAACAAGATTCCGAGAGAAAACTTCAAGACAGAGGCAATGCCATCGGGAACTTGATTCAGGGTCATGGGCTCAGCGGAGTTTGGAGCTCAGGACAGTAAAGTCGGAGAAGCCCCCAATGGGACTGTGCACAGGGCGGTCGCCCACAGGGGGCAGCGTTGAGCCACTCCACGCCAGCCCATTAATGCAGTGAGGGAAGAGGCTCAGTCAGGATGGCCAGCCCTGATTTGTCAAGAGAGACAGGAAACCCGGATTTCTTTTGTGTGTGAAAATCTCATTTCAAAGCTGGCAGATGAACACTGAGGGTCAAACAAAGCAAGCCTCTGGCTTCGGTTTTCTGAGATTCGGGGGACATCACGTATGGATTTACAGGGAGAGCGGTTGGTCCAGGCTAGGAGTTTGAGAGCCCCAGTGGGTGAGGTGCTGGGGTCTGGGAAGTGGGGGCGGGAGGGGGGCGGTCCTGGGTGGCCCGGGCCTCTTCCTCAGTTGCTGAAGAGGCAGGCCCACGTGACCCCAACATTCTGTCCCCCCCCTTCTCCATTCCCACCTCCTGTGTTTCAGAGGCCCCTCGGTTTGAGTCCATCATGGAGGACGTGGAGGTGGGGGCTGGGGAAACCGCTCGCTTTGCTGTGGTGGTTGAGGGGAAACCACTGCCGGACGTCATGTGGTACAAGGTCAGAGGGTGACGCCATGGCCTCGGGAGGCCTAGCCTGGGGCTGACCAGCAGCTTGGGGGGAAAAAGGAGGGATTTCCTGGGAGCGTGGGAGGGGTCCAGGCAGCCTTAGGAGGAGGGGAGCTGAGGCAGAGAAGAGAAAGGGTGCTGCCAGAGGTGCGTTTAGAAGGAAGTGGGACCCAGAGGTGCTGAGTGATGCTGGTGGGTGTGTGAGGAACCGGGGGACTAACTGGAGTAGAAGGGGTTCCTGGCCTTGAGATAGGGGTGAGACTGGGTCTCTGGCATGGAGGTAAAGCTGGGTCCCAGGTGAGGTGAAGCCAGGCCCGGGCTGGAGGTGACGGCTGACTCTGCAGGATGAGGTGCTACTGACTGAGAGCAGCCACGTGAGCTTCGTGTATGAGGAGAATGAGTGCTCCCTGGTGGTGCTCAGCTCGGGCGCCCAGGACGGAGGCGTCTACACCTGCACTGCCCGGAACCTGGCTGGAGAAGTCTTCTGCAAAGCAGAGTTGGCCGTGCGTTCAGGTGGGCTGGAGCTCCGGGGCAAAGTGCTCACCCCCTGGGACCCATGTGAGCTCCTGTCCAGGAGTCACTCATCCGGCCCTGCACCCCTGGGCTCCCACATCTTCCAGCCCAGCACCCCACTCAGGCTTCCAACATTCTTGCTCCTCTTCTGTCTTCTCCATCTACCCTGCCTGTCTCAGGCTCTGCCCTCATTCCTCTCTTGCCCTTCCCCAGCTAACACCAGGCATCTCTTCCCCAGCTCAGACAGCTATGGAGGTAGATGGGGCCCGGGAAGATGAGGAACAGCGAGGAAAGAGACTCAGCGACTTTTATGACATCCACCAGGAGATCGGCAGGTGTGGGCGAGGTGTGGGGTGTGGGGTCTGGGGGCCAAGAAATGACGGGAGGGTGTGGAGAGTCAGGGTTGCAGCCATGCCTGAATCCCATCCTCTCCATCTGTCATCACCCAGGGGTGCCTTCTCCTACCTGCGGCGTGTGGTGGAGCGTAGCTCTGGCCTGGAGTTTGCAGCCAAGTTCATCCCCAGCCAGGCCAAGCCAAAGGCATCAGCGTGGCGGGAGGCTCGGCTACTAGCCCGGCTCCAGCATGACTGTGTCCTCTACTTCCATGAGGCCTTCGAGAGGCGTCGGGGGCTGGTCATTGTCACTGAGCTGTATCCTGGGACAGGCTGGGTGTCTAGGGGATACCTGCCTGAATGACCGGTTCCTGTAACAACCAATTAGTAACATGTTTCACACTTAACAAAGTGGTCCCATTGACAGTTGGGAGGGGCTGACAACCTTTACAAAATTGACAGTTGGGAGTCCTGAAAGCATCTTATAAATACTTCATAGAGTGGAAGTATTTAAAAACAAACATTTTCTGCCCCGCTCCCCTTTTAGCTTAAACGTACATAGAACTTAATGTGTGCCTCACAGTGGTCTAAGATTTTTATTTATTTAATCTTCATGTATACCTACTTATCTCGTGGACTTTTATCATCCCCATTTTACAGATGATGAAACTGAGGTACAGAGAGGTTAACTCACCAGAAGTCACACGGCTAGGAAAAGGCATGCGATTTTTGTCACGAAATGCAGTACAGCACTGCATTTCTGAACATTTGAAGTGACCCCATTTCAGATGAGCATCAATACTTGGCTTTAGTAGGAGGCTGTTACCATAAAGAATGGACTTTAGCTTTGTAAGAGAGTTTGTTGAACAAAGGCACACTATGGTAAGGATGCTGGGTGGTTGGCTTATTCTCACAAGCAGGGTGACCATGTCCTTCACACCAGGCTCCCAGTCTGCACTGGTAGAACCCAAACCTCAGCACAACGGCTGATTATTATGTGTCATGGACCTTCTAGGTCATTCTCAAATAGTCAAGAAGTCCCATCTGCAGTCAACAAAATTCTGCTCCAACTTGATCCCTACAAATACCTCACAGGGTGGGCAGGAGGAGGTGTTATCTTCATTTTACCCCTGAGGGAGTATAGGCTCAGAGAGGTTGGGTGGCTTGCCTGAGAGCCACGGCAAGTGAGAGTCCAAGCAGGGTTGTCCCATCTGTGCACCCAGGTGACAGGCGGAAGAGTGAAGACACGGTTGCTAACTGGTACCAGATGTGCTTTAAGGGAAAGGAGAAGCCTGCGCTGAGCTGGGATCTGACTTGAGCTCTGGGAGTGGGGGCACTGCCCAGGGAGGGCTGGGCAGTTGGCATTGGTCACTGTTCTCCTTGATCCTGGACACAGTTGCACAGAGGAGCTGCTGGAGCGAATGGCTAGGAAGCCCACCGTGTGTGAGTCTGAGGTGAGGGCAGTGGGTGGCAGGGGTCAGGTTGGGCATTAGTGTTCACCCACCTGAACTCTGAGAGCTGAGGGGTGGGTCCTGGACATGCCATCTGTGCCCATGAATAGGCCAGGGGTGGTCCTGGAGAGCACGGGTAGGCGGGCAGCAGAGCCCTTTTCCTGCATCAGACAAGACCCCCACCCAGGGACTTGCATATCTCAGCAGACCCACCCTGTCCCTACTGTGTTTCCCAGGCTTCCTTGTGTCAATTCCTCAGACACTCCTCCCAGCAGGAGCTCCACCTGGACTCCATGCAGCCTCACTCTGTCCTGGCACGGGGGCGTGCACGTTGTGCACTGCACACTTCTATTCATTATCATGTAAATGACTCCTTTCTGTCATTGTGGTGTTCCTGACTGTGTAGCTGTACATGGAGGCCCTGGGTCCAGCAACCCAACCTCTGTTCCAGTCCTCTCCACCAGCCATCTGAAGGCCACCTCCCAGGCACAGCCTGACCTCTTGCCACAGCCCTGGTGGTGATCGAACATAATGCCCCCCCCCTTCCCCCACGGACTCTGGGTCACCTGTTCCCACAGATCCGGGCCTACATGCTACAGGTGCTCGAGGGGATATGCTATCTGCATCAGAACCATGTGCTGCACCTGGATGTCAAGGTGAGGTTCAGGTGGGGGTGGGGAGCAGGCAGCCCCGTGGGAGCCAGGCAGCGGGGTGTCCTCCCCTTTTCACTCAGCTCCCACACCTGGCCCCATGTCCTGCAGCCTGAGAACCTGCTAGTGTGGGATGGTGCCGAGGGTGAAGAGCAGGTGAGGATCTGTGACTTCGGGAATGCCCAGGAGGTGACTCCGGGAGAGCCCCAGTACTGCCAGTACGGCACACCTGAGTTTGTGGCGCCCGAGATTGTCAACCAGACCCCTGTATCTGGAGTCACTGACATCTGGTAATGTTGGCATCCTGAGCGGCTGGGGTGGGCCAGGGCAGCTGCCCTCAGTGCTGGGGAGGTGCTCACTGGCAGAGAGGAGCTTTACTCAGCCCAGGTTCCTTCTCTGACGGTAGACGGGTGGCATTGCTCATGGGTCCCTTGCCCACATAGCTACCTACTCCTATCCCTCATCAATCAGGGATGACCCAGGCACTCGAGGCCTGTCCATCCTTGGTTCCTTATCTCCCCTGGGTGATCAGCCGCACCCTCTGCAGCCACCTTGCCCCTCCTCCCCCCAGCGAGGCAGGCATTGTCCCTTGGTTCCCAGATTTCTCATGGCTTCCTGGGCTGGCCCTGCCATGACCCTGGACTCCTCCAGGGATGTCTGGACCTTTGAGTGCAGAGTCTTCCCTGAGGAGGCATCCTCGCATAATCCATTTGTCCAAACAGTGTTCACAGGATGCTTCTGGCTAGATTCTTGGTAGCCGAGGACGGCTCGCTTCTGGTGGGAGGTGGGCTGTCCTCTCACTGACCCTCTCTCCTTCCCCCACAGGCCCGTGGGCGTCGTTGCCTTCCTCTGGTAAGGACCTCTCTGTACTCAGAACCCCAGTCTCCAACGGTCTCTTAGCACCCCCACTCCTAACATGTATAGGGTCTGGGGCTAGCGAGCAGTTGGGGGTGTGCAGCCCACCCCTTCTCTTCCACACCCCTTGCTGCTTCCTGCACAGCAAGGGCCCCTCCATAGGGGTGGCACACAGCTGGATGGAGAGGCCAGAGCAGGCTCAGTGCCATTTAAGCAGGGGCTACAAGGCCCTGACTGTCCAGCAGTGACTGGAAGGAGTAGGCTCAGTCTCAGGGAGGCATATCCCCCCTACCCCCCTGCTCCCATCCAGACTCCTTACCTCAAGGACAGGCCACGGCTGGAGGAGGCACAGAACAGGTCCTCTAAGCATGGGCCCAGGGCAGGGACCTGGTGGCTGCCTGTCTGGGTGGTGGTGGGAGCAGGACAGGCAGGAGTCCAAAAGACTCTGTCCAGGTTCACCCAGCCCCTGTCTGCCCCACAACCCCGAGGCCTCCACCTCTCCCCAGCCCTATGTCCCCGCCGGCATCCTGTCATCTCTTGCTTAGCCCTAGGGCCCTGCCTACCTCTCACTCAGCTCTCTCCACCCCTGCAGCCTGACGGGAATCTCCCCGTTTGTTGGGGAAAACGATCGGACAACATTAATGAACATCCGAAACTACAATGTGGCCTTTGAGGAGAACACGTTCCTGAGCCTGAGCAGGGAGGCCCGTGGCTTCCTCATCAAAGTGCTGGTGCAGGACCGGCTGTGAGTATGAGGCCCCGAGGCCCCCCGACCTGCAGGGTCCCCTCATGCCACCCCTACTGCTGTCCAAGCCTCTGCCCTTAGACATCCAAACCTCCAAGTCCTTAGAGGCCCCATTTTCCCAAACATTTATTGACTGACTGAAGTAATGAGTGATGAATCCTTTCTTAATCCTCATTCCTTACAGGAGGCCTACCGCAGAGGAGACCCTAGAACATCCTTGGTTCAAAGTGAGTCTAGTACTGCAAAGTCGTGGTAGAAGAGGTGGAGAGAGAGAGCCTGTGAACAGCTTCATTTATTGAGGAGTACTGTGTGCAGTTACCATGATAGGTGTTTTATATACTTACGATCTATCCGCCTCAAATAGCTCTGTAAGGAAGGTATAACTCCCATTTTGTCCATAAGGAAACAGAGGCTCGAGTTGGGGTATCATGGATTCCCAGGCACAGATTTGGACTTCCCATCCTGGGGGTCCTCATCAGGGTTTTTTCTGGCTCTTGAAACCAGCTGTGTGTCCACCTCTGTCTTGCACTGGTCGCACTCACTGTGGTTGGTATGTGGCCTGGCCTCTTGGCTTTGAGCTCTGTGTGGGCAGAGTTCTCATTCATCTTCAAACGCCAGCACTGCAGGGCACAGCGCCAAGTGGGGGGGTGAGATTCAGCAAATGACCCAGAAAGAGCAACTAAATAAACCATCCATTGAGAATTATGCTGGGTCAACTGAAGGCTGAGGTAACTGTGGTATCTGTCCTTGGAGAACCAGCCTTGTCTCCCAGGTCAGGAATGAGCCCCAAAGAGGACAGCCCGGGTGGGTCGCTGAGGGAGGCCTCTGTCATGGCCTGGCCCACCAAGGCTCCAGATATCTGGGCTGCTAGCTCCACATGGAGATGGGTGGTGAGCTGGGCAGTAGGGCCATGCCCAGGGGCCTAAGCACAGGCCTCCCAGGCAGCCACTGTACTAGGACAGGGCCTTGAGCCCTGGTGTAAGCTCTGAAGCCCACCCCAGAAGCCACCAATTTTTGGCCTCTCCTCTTAGGTTCAGGGAATTTGTCTACATGTGGGCACCTTGTCTGTTGGAGTTGTTGTGACAGATCCAAGGGGAAGGGGACCCCCAGGACCTGGACTCAATGCTGCTTGGTCCACTGTCCCCTCCTGTGGACTTTGTCTCTCCATTGTCAAACCTTGAGGGTCTAGGTTGACAGAAAACTTTCTCTAAGTCCCTCTTTCCTGGGTTTGCAGACACAGGCAAAGGGCGCAGAGGTGAGCACGGATCACCTGAAGCTATTCCTCTCCCGGCGGAGGTGGCAGGTGAGTTTGGCTGGGTCCTGCTTCTGTGCCTTCCACCTTCTCATTCTGAGCTTTCTCTCTCTAACCTTGCCTTTTCTCTATCACATGCCCTCACCTCCTGCTCATCTGTCTTCATCTGCTTTTCATGCTCTCAACTCCTGGTTTCCCTCCTGTCCCCTGCCCCCTGCCCCTCTCTCTGTCTGCCTTGGGCCTTCTCCGGGGGCTGAG